TGGATCAGGGAATCAGTCATCCAAGACAATGTCTATCAAGACAGCTCCGGAGGTTGGTAGCTTATAGTTTTTTATTACAAATCTCGAAATATAAAAGGTAGCCCCCGTGTTTAGGTTTAAAATTTTATGAAAGTTGATTAAATTTTTTACTTAATCTTGCTTTGAATTCGAAATTTGATATAAAACATTCCGATTTATACTTAAGGCTCCTTTATTATTAGAATTAATTAATCATAATGTTCATTTTTAACCTGCAATTTAATGATCTATGTTATCCAAAGCTGCGAATAAAAAAATAACGTAAAATTAGCGTTATTTTCATCGGCGGGGATAGAAATTTCGGAAAAAAGGAACGGACGCGTCGAGTTTCACGCCCGATTTTCCGAGCCGTCTCGAGTGTGAATTTTCGTACCGCGTACGAGCGATAAAAGCGGAAATAAAATTCGCCGTAAAAGCGAACCATAATTTGCCGCCATCGTCCGAGGCGGATTTTATTATTTAATAAAAGATTTATTGTGGGAGAGCAATAAAATTTTTTAAGAGCGCTCGGACGATCAAAAAGTTATTAAAGAGACGCGCTGAAGAAAGAGACGCAGGGTGCGTCATGTCGATTGTAATGGTTCCGCATTCTTTGAAGTAGTGCCATTCCCCCCAAAACTAATATTATGACGCACCCGCTGAAAAGCTGATCTTGACATTAAATTTTCCCGAAACTATATGACATTGTACCTTTTACGGAGGTTTTTCCAATATAATCCATTAACTGGCAAATTTACTGCATGTTCAATTTAATTGATTGATAATTTTATTGCTACTTAAGACGAATTAAATTTGTATAATTTTTATTTCCACCCGTATAATCTCCCAGAGCGAACTTCCTTACGTAAAACTATTAATTATAATAATAATTATAAATTGTTTATTGCCCGTAAGATACAATTTTTTACCTTAACATAACGATAGATACTGCTGAGTACAGAACGCTTTAGTTTAATTCCGAATGTCCCATACCCATGCTCCTGTCCCTCTCTCAGATCTCGTGAACTCATTGACTTGGGCACTCATTTCCAGGTCTTTTTTGGTCTTCTTGGCGATAACCACATCATAACCAGTTTCGGTTCATTCTATTATTTGGACATATCCATACCATGCCAGTTGCTTTCTCTCAATACCAGTTGTTTAAGAACCCTTTACTTCGATTGACGTACGAAATCTTGATGTTCCTAACGATCTTTTGAATAAACCCATTTCTGTTGCTTCCAGCCTTCTTCGATTGCGTTGTGTGATAATTTCCACCGGAATTATGTTGATTGACTATTGCTATTTTAACTATTCTCCATCATTTTATTCGCACATTAAAAAAAACTTAAAGCCAGTTACATAGGTGTTAAGAACATTTACAGGAATAAAGCAATTTTTAATCCGAAACAAAAAGATTTTCTCTGCAGTTCCTTCATTGTTTGATTACGCATATGAATATTGTCTGTTTTGGCAAATTAAAAGGTCAATACAGAAACTATGCGTTTCGCCTATAAAATACCTTGCCGTAGTCATATATCACTTTTTGAATAATTTAATTATTTTAAATATGAATAATCGACGGAAACTGCGTATGTACGGGTTTTTTTATAAAATTATAAAATCAGGTGAACTGGCTTATCTTGATGAGATGTTCCAACTTCTTCCATATTCCCAAAGAACAAGAAATAACCTAACTTACATTGTTCTTGCTAGTCAGATGACATACACACAAATAATAAAATCTAATTTACTTATAGACCAATATCTGCTTTTAGAATAATTAATCTAAATATTCAATAGTTATTTTTCTTTATCTATAGTGTTATGCTTAAACTCCTATGACAACTTCACCGTCGCTTTGGGCTTTTGTCTCCTTTTTCTCCGATTGTTCCCCTCCCCTTGGGGCAAACTCCACCGTAACCAATTTTGCTTCATTCTATTATTTGCATATATCCATACCATACGAGTTGCTTTCTGTCAATGTCAATTGTTCAAAATTCCTTTACACCGATGTACTTCCTCGTTTGGAATTCTTTCTCTTCTGGATATTCCTAGTGATCTTCGGATTGCTTTCTGTGAATCTCCACGTCTCTGTGCCATAAAACTCTTCATAAGCGTCCCATTAACCGTAAATTTTAGTTTTTTTCAATTTCTCGGTCAAAAAAATGCTGTTTAAACAGCGAGTTATTCTCCTTGCTTGCGTTATTCGCGTATCATTTCTTCCCGTTGTAGTGTAGTGGGTACATAATCCCATTTCATCTGATTTCAGTTGGATATTAGACGGTTCCGTTCCTATGGGCAGGTACGTAGCTTTCTGGGTATTGAATTCTAAACCCCATTTACTCTATTCTTCTTCGTTGATCATAGGCGAATTGTAAGGTATATAAGCATGTGTGACCTATTTCAACTTCAACTTTAAGGCTTGCGCAATATATATCTTAGAACTTGTGAGTGATATGCTGACGTAGTCCTCTATTAACAGGAAATTGATATGAAATTCTGTTACCTAGTTTTATTGCTGACGTCGATCAATTGTAAATGTTTTCGAGGGCATTCATTAATGTTGGTTTTCTGTAATGCTTTTCAAAACTTTTTTATAGGAACAGCGTCATAGGTTTTCTGGAGATATATAAACATAAGATGATTTTCTTGATTCGTCCTTGATCTTTTTTGTATTATCTGCTTTAGACTAAAAACGTTGTCTGTACTACTATGAGTGCTTGTGCCTGATATACCTTTGTAGTTGGAGCGATCCAACTTATTTCCTTTTTTATGCAGCGATGAAATGTATACTACTTTCAATTCGTGTGATTTGGGGTTTTCGTTTAGGTATTGATTTATACGCCAAGTAAGTTGGAGTGTCGTTGTACCATATTTAATTAACTCTGCTGGAAGTGTAATCGATGTATACTCATTTCTGTCTTCATTTAGAAGCTGTTCATAGTGTTGGATACATGTTCACATTGGTCTCAGTTGAGTGTTGTGTTGCTTTTTCTGATTCGCCTTTCTAATAAATTTCCACGTTTCTGAATGTTTCTTTTTTCCTAATATGTTTGTTTTAGTCCTTGTCGTCATTTTTATCTCTAAATAGCTGTCTTTGTCTTCTTGTTTTTTCTATTAATCCGTCTTATATAAAGTCGCTTTTTTGAGACACCAATATTTGCCCTTGTTCAACCATAGTTTTTAATTTCGAATTTTGTTTTGTATTCCAAGCACTTCTTGTGCTTAATAACATTTGTGATAGGATTCATAACATTTAATTAAACTTGAGTCATGGAATTCGTATGCTCCCTTAAGTGCTATTTATTTTACAAATAACTAACTTAAGTTGCTTTTAGTTATAGCTGTTAGTCAGTGATTGTTTCACGATTTTCTACTAACCAATTAGACAATTAATAGCCGAAACCTTTAGACGCTATATATAAATATGTTATCTAGTTTAGTCCCAATATATAAAAATGTTTGCTCCCTATCTCTATAAATGGTTGCGTAAAGTTTTCTTTCGTTGTTGAATAATGAATTTTCTGTCGAATAGTTAATACCATGAAATACTGATGGGAGCGATACTGTCGGTCAAGTTGAAATATAATTATGAAGACTCTTTTCTGAATAACCTCAAATGGTTTGAGATTAATTTTACATTCACCGCCACCACCACATTTTGTTTTATTCAAAGAATTTGGCTCGTTTGCTCAAAAATATATACAGATTTTTATAGCTAGTGTTGAATATGAACATCCCATTTCAGTTTTTCTATTTGCCACAATTCAGATCTCTGTGCCGGGTAAACCTCAATCTTGTTACTTGGTAATGTTAAAGCATTTTTAGAAAAGGGTACGTACACAGTTTTTTGCAAAATAAGCGCTCGTCGGACAAGTTGGTTATTGAGCAAAGATCTGCCTTAATTTGCAATTCAACATTATTCCTAAGTGTCGGCTGCCATCATTAGGACTGTATCATCCGCTAAAAACTGTTCCCTGTAGCATTCCACCGTAGCTTTTGAATTGGTCCAACACAATACACCTGACACCAATTGATTCTAATTTGTTTATTAATAACCTATGTTTCACTGTGTTAAAGGCCTTATCCAGATCCAGATAGCTATACTTCTTTCCAGATAATAAAGTAGTGGCATCAGCTGTATTTTTATTTTGAGTAAAACTGAACTGATTGTTAGAAATGTTAGAAATGAGCTGTGTATGTAAAAGGCGTTTTACTAATCTTATATTTATAAGTGTCTCGAATATTTTATTTATATTTGATAGAACACTGATAAGACGATAATTAACCGCCAGCATTCACCTTGTATACTGGACTAACAATAAACATAGGAATTATCACATTTATTATATACGATAGCGGTTGAAATATTTCTGTGGCAATCTCTTCTAGAATCTCAACATCAATACCATCTTCTCCAGGCGCAGTTTTTTTTTATTCTTCAGTTCGTTAATAATTTTTTAATATCACTAATATTCGTTTCTTCAATAAACATTGTTATTATTATAATTTTCTGAGTCAATATTTGTGGTTCGGATTTTGTTCGCCAACTTTTGCTCTATGGGAAAGTATATAGTCATTCTAAACCTTGAATCTTGAACCTTATCTTTTACGAGACAAATACTGATTTACAGGTTCCCACAATTTCCTTGAGTTATATTTGTTTTGGTATATTATGGTTTTCTAGGATTTACTTAATATGACATTCAAATAGATTTAATTGGCAATATGTTTTGAACAAAATGCAATCGACAAATCAATAGAAGTCAATGACGCACCGGAAAATCTGATGATATACACTATGTCCCATTTAAAATATCAAAGCTGATGCTACAATTTGGAAGAAATAGCAATGTTGCATCGCTTGAAAATCGTCCTTGCTTATGTTTGCAACTAAATCTTCATGTACCATCCATTGTGATTCATCTTATACTGATCAAGAAGCAAGAATCGAGAAGAAAATGATTCGTTTGTTGCAGACGGTACGGTACGAAGTGCGGTGGCTGCGGCCAGGGTATTTCGCCGAGTGACCTGGTGCGCAAGGCTAGAGACAAGGTGTTCCACCTCAACTGCTTCACCTGTCTAGTGTGTAGGAAACAGTTGTCTACGGGGGAGGAGCTCTACGTGTTGGACGATAACAAATTCATCTGCAAGGATGACTATCTCAACGGGAACAAAGTGACGGGAATACCACACCAGCAAGGTAAGTCCCATGCGTATATAACACCTACCCATAATTCCATGTCTTCGTGTATATAGGTATATATAGGCCTACCAATACACCTGCTCAAATTATGTCTATTATTTGAAGCTGTTATGTTTAAGTAAGAATGAATTTACAAAAGTTTAAAAGTTTGTAACAAATAAGGGAAATTTTTGGAACGATGTGCCATATTAACCCAACCATATTGTACTTCTCCGAGATTGACGCCAAATAAATGAATGATGTGGATTGCATTGCGCCTTCGCATCCACTGGAGTAATAATAATAGGAATCCACCGGACTGTGTCTATCCAGCGGGGATGATAGTTTTTTTTTCCTTTTCCTCCTTTTTTTTATGCAGGCCTTGTTTTTTCTTGATTACTTAATATTTAGATGGGTTTATCCTGCGAATAAATAAATAAAAATGGCAGTTGGTTGAGGTAATGGTTGAAAAAAGATGTACACTAGGGTGCTTGCTTTTTTTTATTAGTACATTTCAATGAAAGCACAATCCAACAAAAAAGTGTTGTAAAATTTCTTGGAGTTTGTATATAGTCGAACAAGTGGATTACATTCTCAAAAAAACTTTCTATTTATTGCTTTGTCATACGGAGCCTCCAGCATGAGGTTTCTTTTCCTTTGTCCATTCCCGTCTTAACTACGCCTTAATTTGTTGGGGAGGTTCCTCAAGTCTTTAGGAGACAGAAACGCATTTTAAGGATTATACTGTAGCCGTGGAAATTTTAATGTCGAGACCTATTTCCACAACACTCTTTGTTGACACTTATGAAAATTATGCAAAATATATGCGAGTCTAGTGTATCTCAGGAGATGCTCCCGCTCAAATGTAGAAAACACTATTCTAGTGAGACTAAGAAAGTTTATTTGACTCTCATTGAACGTGGTGCCAGCAAGCAAGCATCTTTAGAAGAAACGTCCGCATTGACGAAAATTCCAAAATTAACTGTATGGAAAATTGATCCCTGAATAATCTCATTCCAGCTAGGAAAAAAAGAAGCGATGCTGACATGCGATGATACTGGGATACTTGGGTGATACTGATATATTATTTGAATAATTTTAACTAATTTAAGTAGCTAATAAAAATAATTTGTAATTTTATTTTAGATTTCATTAATTAATAATTAATTCATTAATTATACTAACATAATTTTATATCATTTGTATTTGTATTGACAATATACTACAACACTTGTAACTTAAGACTTATGGAATTATGCTATCTTTATCTATATATTTTAATGTTGATAAAAAAACCTTACGTGATGTAGAATCAAATTTCTACAGTTTAAGCATTGTTGGCCTGTGTAATCAGCTGCTTCGCGGCGCCCCGTGACGAAATTCAATCGGCAGCCGCCGGCAAAATCGTAATTTCCATAGTCGATCATCGATCGCTTTGTACGCGAACCCGTAGATGCGGCGCGTGCGCGGCCACGCCCCGCCTTTTTTCATCCGCGACGGACCAATGAGCGCAGCCGCGATGATCGCGGCTGACTTGCGACGCGTCGCATTGGGGAGGGGGATTAGCCACGCCGTGTCCCTGAGGCGCGCGTCGAAGATCGCGCGCTGACCGCGAGAGAACGGGCAGGTGCCGCCGTGCGGACGTGTTCGATAATTTACGTTAGCGGATGGACGGCTTTAGGACGCGCGTCGACGCGGATCGATACGCCAATTTTTGACGGCCCTAGGGACCGATTTTTTAGCGTCCTCTTGTTACGTCGCGTATAAATACGACATAGTTTTACCGTTTCTGTTATAGTCCGTCTCGATCTTTATCGTGTTAACTTTTGACGGACCCTCCCCAATCAAACTCTAACGATGTTATTACCTTTTGTTATTGGGTAAAGTCACTAAGAAAAAAATTATTCTTACTTGAGTGACAAGGCAGGGGTGGGCCAGGTATATTTCTTTCTTTCTGATATATTTCTTGAGTGTTGACCATTTGAGGCAGTTTTCAACTGTTAAGTTATTTTAATAGAATATAACATTGTCGATTGATGCAAAACAGGTTACGAAAAATATGTATGAATCTTTAATTAGAAGATGACTTATTCATCAAGAAGCTTTAAAGGAGCCTGTTTCTTACCACCGTATAGACAATATTGTATATATACAATTATATTGCATTTTTTTAAACGTAGTTGTTCCTACCTTGAATTAACTGAAAAAGAAGCTAGAATAAGATGAAACCAATATAAATATAAACCGTGTCTCCATAGAGTTGTTCGCCAAATGGGGTTTAAGTACCGCAAAATAGACAAAAGGCAAGTAATAATGGAATCACACACATTACCCACTTTGAAATTTCATTACCTTCAAGAGACTAAAAGATATAGATTAGATAACAGATCATAATTGATCTTCATGAAATATGATTCGATACATACGACAATGTATCCATAGGATGGGTCTGATTCCACACAAAACTGTCAGGCGAAAGCACCTTCAAATAAGTCGCACCGCCATAATAGACGCTGGGTCAGAAGAAAGATTTGTCCCAAACTACTTACGCCAAAGAATATTAAGAATTCCAGCTTGGATTATTATGAGGATACAAGTGCCGAACTTTTTGTAATTTGGTTTTAAAACAATCTTCAAAAATATATTCCTAATAACATGGATAACGCAAGCTACCACGGTCGTCTGCTACATAAAGCACCACCCGAGTTTTATTGCCGTTGGTAGATAACTTTCATAATTGCGGGCAAAAGTCAGCACGATGAAAATTGAGACTATACTTGTACGATGATTAATAGCTCTCCAGGCCCAGAAGGTCCATTACTTGGTTGACGTTGTCTCCCTCTTTCCTTCTGTCGCTGCTAATCCCTAGTTTACGTATATCCTTTACCACCTCGTTCATTCATCTCACCTTAGTCTTATCCCACACATGATGGAAGTAACTCTTCCCTTCTCTTCTGGTTGAGAACCAAATGCCAGTACATTACTTTGCAGATAACGTATGTTGCCGTTGTATTTCACAATTACCTTCAAACTGGACCACTTGGACCCCACGAGGTACCTAACTTGGAAACTACGAACATATATATGTTTTTATTTTCCTTTCTTTTACCTTAAGTTAGGATGAGTTTCTAATGTTACAGGTACTAAGTAATTAAAAATGATACGACATAACGAGAAAGTTCCTGGAATGCGGACTCACCGTAACTATTATAATAACAATGAAACTGTTTATTTAACTAGTGAAGCAATAGTGTAGGAATATGACCTTTTAAATACTTCCTTTCTATGCTGCCATACAGTCAACCATCCTTTATTATGAAAATTAAGCCCATGGACTTTTGTTGTAAAGGAAATTTTATTAAACAGATATCCAGGTGATTTATCTTTAATGATCTTGAAATAAAAGGAGGCCATAACCAACTTGAAACTATTGTGCATATTGAGCCAACTAGTAGTTCGGAGAAATTTTGAAATTCTTTGGCCTTTGAATTCCATAAATCAACCTCAAGCATGGGTTTTGAATTTTAGTATCTATAAGAATAAATTAGTTTTAAAGTAACATAAGCTTTTTTCAGTTTTTCAATTACGCTCTGGCGGAAACAAAGTTTAGAATCCAAGAATAAACCCACGGTTTTACTGGAATCATATAATCGTTAACAAGACCTAATTTTTTGAGTTTTAAACTTGAACATCGGTTCCTAAAATTACAGCAGCTGATTTAGTAGGATTAATTTTGTTGAAGCTATATTATAGAAGTTATTTACATCAGAATTTATAAGTTCATTACTTCACTGTCATTGAAAGCTGTATGTAGTCGGGTGTCGTCAGCATAAAGATAATATTTAAGGTAATTTAGCGACATGTGAAACTGAGAAGTATAAATAGCAAACAAAAGAGGACCCAAGATGCTGGGATGGGGAGGATCATTTGTTACGGTTGTATTTCAAAATTTTTTCATATTTAAAAATGTTTTATTTACTTCTTATAAAACTTCTGGATTCCTCCTGCGTCGGTTTTCGTTGATTCGAACTAGCTAATGTTTCGCCAATCATGAATTCTTCAGAGCTTGACTGAATCTGGCTCGCATTTTACTCTGTACCTGCTTTTATATTGTTTGAGGGGGGGGTGGAGCTAAATAAGGGGCATAAACACTGTTTCGGATGACTGATTTCCATATTTGTGACAGATAGGGACCTGTTAAGAGTGTTAGGTTGCTTATAGATTTCCATAGACTCTCGGATTTTTCGTTGGTAGAAGAATTGATTATATGCAAGAATTTTAGTTTTATCCAATAAAATTTTATAACCACCATCTCGGATGACTGATTTCCATATTTGTGACAGATAGGGACCTGTTAAGAGTGTTAGGTTGCTTATAGATTTCCATAGACTCTCGGATTTTTCGTTGGTAGAAGAATTGATTATATGCAAGAATTTTAGTTTTATCCAATAAAATTTTATGACCGCTTTCGTGATTGTGTTCGGCAATTGCTGATGAGTTTATTTGTCTTAGTCTTAAGGCTGTTTTATGTTCTTTGAGCCTAGTTGATATTTTTCGTCCTGTCCCTCCAATGTATTCTTTGCCGCATATGTATGGAATGCTGTAAACTCCTGGCATCTCAAATGGAATTTTGTCTTTGACGGATCGAAGATGTTGAGAGATTTTTGGACAAGTGGTAAATCTGGTTTTGACGTTATATTTCTTTAGAATTTTTGATATGTGGTCAGTGATGTTTTGAATATAAGGAATCATAAGAGTGGCAAGTGTGGCATTGCACCGCTACTCAGGTATCTACCTGTCACCAATTTGGGAATCGGTCATCCGAAACAGTGTTTATGCCCCTTATTTAGCTCCACCCCCCCCCTCAAACAATATGAAAGCAGGTACAGAGTAAAATGCAAGGCAGTTTTAGTCAAGCTCTAAAGAAGCCAGCAGGATGATTGGCGAAACGTTAGTTAGTTCGACTTAACAAAAACCGATGCAGGAGAAATCAAGAAGTTTTATAAAAAGTATTACAG